TGGGCCTGGAAGGAGGGGGAGATCGGATTGCTTCTCCCGCCGCCTCCCGCAACTAGGAGGAGCAGCATCGGTCCCACGAGAACTGCCTGGACGCTGCCTCCGACGACCTGCTGGATCTGCAGAGGAACTTACCCGAGCGGCGGGGCCGCAGCCGGGAGCTGGAGGAATACCGCCTGCGGAAGGAGTACCTAGAGCACGAGGTGAGCCGCCGGCCCCCGTCCGCCCCCTCGTGGCCGCGTCCGGCCTTGCAGCCTTGGCTCCTCTGTGGCTCAGGGCAGGCGAGGTGATGTCTGCACTTGCTTGCACAGGGCGTGTCCTGTTCTGGGATCAAGGACCAGCCGCTTATCTGAAACGCTATTAAGGGACATTATTTTTCTAACTGTTTTCTCCTGAGAGTATATTTGGCAGGAAAAAGCATTTTATATTATTTCCCCTAATACCTACCTAATAATAATAGGCTGTATTTGTGGCGCTTGTATTACTTGCTCAGATTATCTTGTTAAATTACCTAACAGCTCTGGGGTAGGGACTATGACCCTCCTTTTACAGATGAGGGAACTGAGGCATCAAGAGAGCAAATAAGTCACCTGATCAGTGTAGGTGCTACTCCAGTCTTAACATAGGAATGACTTCTATTAAATCTACAATCAACCTGAAATGTCTTAACCCCCACCCCACACCCCAAACTCTGCTTTGGCCTGACATTGGTGCACATTCTAGTTCAGTGATGACGAACCTTTTGAGCTCGGCATGTCAGCATTTTGAAAAACCCTAACTTAACTCTGGCGCACTGTCACATATAGAAATTTTTTGATATTTGCAACCATAGTAAAACAAAGATTGATATTTTGATATTTTATTTTATATATTTAAATGCCATTTAACAAAGAAAAATCAACTAAAAAAATGAGTTCGCGTGTCACCTCTGACATGCGTGTCGTAGGTTCGCAATCACTGACAATTTTTTTTGATATTTGCAACCATAGAAAACAAAGATTGAATTTTTGATAATTTATTTTATATATTTAAATGCCATTTAACAAAGAAAAATCAACCAAAAAAATGAGTTCGCGTGTCACCTCTGACACGCGTGTCATAGGTTTGCCATCACTGTTCTAGAACCTAAGCAGCCAGGCAGGTGAGAGGCGGTATGACAACAGAGGGGTCAGAGGTGATCCAAAGGCAGAGACCAGAGACGCAATGGTCAGCGTCACCTGCTGGCTGTCCCATCCTCACCTCCTGGTCGTGCCCTCTGGCTTTTTGTTGCACTCGTGGCTGTGAGGGCCCCATTTCCCAGAGGCCCCGGGTGTGAGTCACAGGTCCCAGGTCTGCCTGCAGAGCTCCAGCACCTCCCACCACAGACCAGAGGGGTCTTTAGCAGCCGCCAGCCCCCTGGAGCCCTCCTGTCCTCCTTTACGAGCAGGGTCGTGATGGTGCCCCACCCAACCTCCCAGGCTGGGACAAGGAAGGGACCTCATGGGGTGCCCCTACCCATACCCCCAGAGCTGGGATGACGGCCTCCTGGGATGGAGGGTGGGAAAGCACCGACCAAGCTGGAAACCGGATCTGGAGGTGCTGGTTACAGAGACCTTAGGAGTGTGAGCAGACGAGGGCTGTTAGCATCATGCTCTCCAGATGCCCGTTGTTGACACGCCGCTCAGACTCAGCCAGGTTTCAGCGCAGGCGTGAGCCGTCGTGTGCAGCGCTGCACGGGTCTCAGGCCTGCTGGGTCCTGGCCTTTCGGTGTCTGGGAGATGTTGGTTACAGCGCACGTTGGCCGTTAGAACAGGGCTGGCTGATCCGTGTTACTGTAAGACTGTCCAGATAGTGGCAGGGCTCTAACACGCTACTGCTGTATTCTGCAAAGCCTGGTTACAGGTACAATACAGACGCTAGCTGTCTGTCCAGTCCTCTCTGTGCAGCAGTTTTTATTGCCACAGCTTCATACACATGTTGTCTGCCCGTCCCCCGCGATTCCAGCCTCCTGCCCACCTGGAGCCAGGCGGTGCTTAAGGTGGGGGTGCCCGTGTGTTGCAGAAAACCCGCTATGAAATGTACGTTCAGCTGCTGATGACCCGTCTGCACTGCCCCTCGGATGACCTGGACCTGTGGGAGGAGCAGCTGGGGAGGGAAGCCGCAGGCACCCAGGAGCCCAAGCCCAGCCTGAAGAAGTCCCACTCCAGCCCCTCCCTGCACCAGGACGAGGCCCCCACCACCGCCAAGGTGAAGCGCAACATCTCAGAGCGCAGAACCTACCGGAAGATTATCCCCAAGCGGAACCGCCATCAGCTGTGAAGCGTCACTCACAGACCTTGGCCCCTGCTCTGGGGCGGACCTGGGATGAAACCCTGTGGGATGGAGGGGAGGCCCCTGCTCTGCTAGGGGCAGGCCTCTCTGAGCTCGCCCGAGTACTGCTCTGCCCTGCCCTGCCCCCGCGGCAGGTCCTCAGCCGCCTGGTCCCTGGCCACTCCCGAGGGAGGAGAGAAACCAAAGATTTGGCTCCACTCCCAGAGTTTGTCCCATGTCTCTCTTCATTCCTCCAAAATCCAGAAAGGCCCCTTTTCCTGGGCCTGGGGCAGCTCAGCGCTTGTTGGGGAAGCGGAGCAGATGGTCCCTGGCTTCCAGGAGAGACCCTGGGGCAGCCGAGGCCTCTGGGCAGTCAGGCCCCGGGGATGGTCTTGCTCTGGGAATCAGGTGACCTGCTGAGAGAGGCCTGGAAAGAAATCCCACCCCCGCCAAGCCTCCTGTTGCTCAGGCCCTGCTCAGGGTGGGGCCCCTGTCAGGGGCAGGGCCTGGAAGGCAGGCAGGCGGCAGGGCTCCCGGAGGCTGGCTCTGGGGACTGCACCTTTGTCTCCTCATCCCTACAGTCAGCCCTGCACCAGGGCCAATGAGAGCGCCCCACCTCCATGCCCAATTGCTACTCAACAGAGCAGAGCCAATGGCCCCAAAGCGGTGGGGGCTCCAGGGCTCTGGGGAGCCCAGAACAAGGGGCCTTTGTGTCCCAAGCGCCAGGAAAGAGGCTCAGATCCATGGGGAGCCTGAGGAAGAGGTGGTGACACAGCCCCTGGGGCTCTCCTGGCAGGAGCTGCCACTGTGGAAGGGTTGAGAGTCATAGTGGAGGCCTGGACCCCCTCCCTGCACCCCAACCCTTAAAGCTCTATTCCCCAGGGGCACCAGGCTCCTCTGGGCCCCTGCCCTCCCTGTATGTCCCCTGGAGCTGTCCTCTGGCTACTCTCAGCTGGGCCTGTTCTCAGGGTGGGGCAGGGGGTGGGGAGGGCTCTGGACACCCACGGATCTGAGGCTGTGCCAGTGGAAAGGAGGCTGGGCTGGGGGAGCAGCTACCATTGTCTCTGTTCAGCCAAGTGTGCCCACAGGCTGCCCGCCAAGAGGGGCCTCTGCTGCCTGCCTGCTGCCTGCTGGCTGACGCACGGCCTCTCCACTTCCCTGCTGGGCCTCCCCCTCCTGTCCATGCTTGTAACCAGCCCTGTGGCCTGGAACTCCCCCAGGCTGGGCTGGCCCTGGGGGGCCATGAGAGGTTTCTGATCAGGGCCAGGGGCTGAGCCATGCACCCAATGGGTGTGCAATAAATACAGGCCATTGAAGGAAAGTGTGCACGAGTGTGTGAGGGGAGAGGGTTGGGCAGCTGGGCCACCTGTTCTTTGTCAGGCTGTATCCCCTCTGCCCTGTGGGCATATGCACGTCTATGAGTATGTATGTGTGTCTGCATGTGTATCTGTGTTTATGCGTGTCTGCATGTGTGTCTGTGTGTCTGCATGTGTATGCCTGTCTGCAGGTGTGTTTGTGTGTCTGTGTGGATGCGTGTCTGTGCATGTATGTGTGTCTGTTCATGTGTGTAGAGCATTGTGTGCTTGTGTGCAGGAGTCACACATTTACTACCAAACTGGAGGGGACCTCAGGATCGTTTATTCACCCACTCGTTCATTTATTCACTTCACAAATAATATCAACCACTTTTCATGGGTCAGTGCTAAGGAGCTAACAATGAATGGACCATGTCCCTGACCTCCCGGAGGGGACGGTGCTGCTCTGGTTCCCAGCGGTCAGCATGAAGACACTCATCTCTCTATGTGGTGAGCTGAGGACACTGTCCCACCCGCTCCCAGGGTTTGGGCCCAGTAGGGTTGGTTCCAGGGCGTGGAACTAGCCACTCCTAGGCCATGGGTCACTCTGATGTACGACACAGGTAACAGCACGCAGAGTCCGGTCGCCCCAGGTTATGGAGGTGGAAGCTGGTTTCAGGTGGACATGACTCAGCCCAGAACTGGCACTGAGCCCGATGGCCTTGGATGAGGTATTTGACCTGACTGGACGTGGATCCTTATTCTAAAACAAGAATGGAAGGCAGAGGGTGTCTGCCTGTGCGCGTGTGTATAACACTCGATGCTTCTTTGCTCACGAAGAACTGGCACCTCCTTTCACTTGGGCACGTGAGGCCTGTGGAGCCAGAGGCTGGTGCCCAGGTCCTGGCCTGCGTTGCCAGGCTACTCGTGCCAGAGGCCTGGTGGGTGGAGACTGGGCCATTGGGCTGCAGTTATGGTGGGTGGCCACTGGGGAGCGGGCTTGCATCTTCCTGGTTTCTGGGCCCAGGTGCTTGCTGCAGCCCTGGGCTCACGGATGGCAGGAAGCCAGCCTGTCCTGCCACCTACAGAACCAGGAGTGGCTCGGGCCAGGCCTCCCACATCCAAACCCGTCTCCACCACACAAAGGGTAGGGACTTTGGCATCGTCCTGCAGATGAGAGGAACATTTTTTCTGGGATCTTATGGGAACAGCCTAGAGCAGCAGTCACCAACCGGTGGTCCTCGGACCGCTGGTGGTCCATGAGGTCCGAAAGGCTGGCGGCCACCCTTATGGGGACAGCCTAGAGCAGCGGTCACCAACTGGTGGTCCGTGAGGTCCGAAAGGCTGGCGGCCACTGGCCTAGAGCCCCCCACAGAAGTGTCCCAGGTGACCTAGGAAAGTGAGAACAAGCCCAGTCCCGGTGTGGGGCAGGTCAGACCTACCGCCTACACTTGACCTTCTCCCCACCCCACCTGTCCTCCCCCTGAGACGACCTGGGTGCTGCAAGCTGGCAGAGTGGGTCTGAGCCCTCCTTCCCATCCAGGGGAGCTCAGGCTCCGGGGCCCTGAGCTGTCCTGACCCGGGTGGGACTGGACTCTTCCTGTCTCAGCATCGGCAAGGTCTGGCTTTCTGCTGATGACAACCTCCATCTGCGGTTTGCCAGGCACCACGGAAGAATAAAAGGTCACACGGCCTCGGCCTGGGGTTTTCCTCCGGGGGCTCAGTCAGACGGAGACAAGTGGGGTGTGTCAGGGTTGGAAGGAGCTGGGCTGGAGGGTGGGGCAGGCAGGTTGAGGAAGGCACAATGTAGGAGGGGCCCGAGGCCAGATCCCCAGGGACCTCACCAGAAGCTCAGGAGTGTGGCTTTCCAGCGGAAGAGGGACGTGCAGGGCTTGGAAACAGCCTAGGAGCCTTGCTCTCAGAGGACAAAACGACTCGAGTGAGTAAGGCCAACGGGCAGGGTCCGAGCGTGGCCTGGAGATGCTCCTGCTATTAGTGCAACTCTGCTGTGAGCCAAAATAAATTTAAAAATGAAGTGGGGGGAGGGGAGTCAGCAGCCTGGAACCTGGGACAAGGTGGTGATCCAACTGGCCCTCCTCCTCCCTTGTACTCCCCTCCCTCAGGTGCTTCCAGGGACTTACAGGTGTCCAGACTGCCTGCTCTCTCTCATGGCTCCTCCCACCTGTGCCTCCAGCTCTTCTGGATGCTGCATCCCTCACCATCAACTGTGGCTCACACCTTCACCTGCCCCTCACACCTTCACCTGTCCCTCACACCTTCACCTGCCCCTCACACCTTCACCTGTCCCTCACACCTTCACCTGCCCCTCACACCTTCACCTGCCACTCACACCTTCACCTGTCCCTTCCCCCTCCGTCTCAGTAGTGAGAAGTGCTCTCTGCGTTCCTGAGCTGACCCCTTCCCTGAACTCACACGAAGCCCACTGGCTCCTCCCATGAAGTGTCTCCCTCGGGGTCCTGGCTGCTCCTTGGGCCTAATCTCCACCCCCTTCACCATCTGGCCTTGAAAACACCTTCAAGTCTCCCCTTCGCGAAGAAAAAGATGGTCTTTCTAGCTGTTTCCCTCCCTCCCCTGGCTCCTGGCTCCCTCCCAGCCACAACTCGCTGAGAGGCTTCCACCTGCCCCTCCCTAAGCTCCACCACCCCAGAGAGCACCCGGAGGACCCTCAATCGTCAAGGCCACGGCCTTCTCAACCTTCCTCCTCCTTCCCTCTCAGTGACCTTTGGTCCCGTCGGCTATATGACGGGCAACCTGGGCAAGGCCATCGTTGGGGCCTGGGCAGCAGGCCCTGGAGCCGACTGCCCGGGAGCGAGTGCTAGCTGTCCCTGTGCCTGACTGGGGCCCAGTTACTTAGCCCCTGTGCTCCATCTGCTTCCCTATAAAACGGGCTAATAACACTGCTTACCTCACGGGGTCCTGGAGGATTCGGTGAGGTGATGCACGTCGGCATCCGAGAACAATGCCTGGCACGGGAGGACGTGGGGCAGGTTAGCCATTAGTGCCCAGCCTCGCTGCCTCACTCACACACCTGCCCCTCCTCTGGGCTCAGGCTCAGGCTCTGCCCTCAGACGTGTGAGTCCTCCTGAAGGCGAGGCCTTTGCACATGGCTCCTCCTGCCTGGATGCTGGAAGTCGCACATCTCAACTCAGACGCACTTTAGCGGGAAAGGGCATTGACTGGCTTCAATAACTAGATGACCTGTGCTCAGGGCAGGTGAGGTGGCTCCATCTCCCTGGCTCCATCTCCCTGGCTCCATCTCCCAGGCAGAGGAGGCAGGGGTAGCCTCCTGGCGCCAAAATGGCTCAGCAGCATCCCTCTCCTGTGCAGATCTAACACAGACAATAGCTGCTCCTTGGAGCGTTCCTCTGAGCAGCCTGCCCTGGGCCATGGCCCATCTCTGAGCCCATCTCTAGGGTCAGGAGCTTCGGGTCATCAGAAGCCATCTTCTGAGATGGGAGTGGGGCAGGGCGGAGGCAAACCCCCCAAAGGATGGGACTGGGCCAGCTGTGGAGAGACTGTAAGTTTATGAGGAGTGGGAAGAGGAGAAGCCACTGTCGCCAGCGCCACTTCCCGCAGACAGCCTGCTTAGCCCTGCTCCCAGCTGTTCTCTGCCATACCGCATCTACAGCCCTCTTCCCCGCTCTGCTCCCAGGAGAGCGGAGCTCCCGAGGAGGGCACAGGCAGCCTGGCATCCCCTGGGCCCCATCGAGGGTGGAAAATGTGAGCCTCAAGTCTGTCCTCCCTCAGGCGTGGCGCCCCGGTGCTCCTGGTTCTACCTGCCTGTTAGTCTTCTGTCTCTCCTCCTCCTGGTCCTCCCACCCCTGAACGCAGCCCTTCCACAAGTCTGGCTGCCTGCAGGCCCTTGGGGAACTTCTGGGACTCTCCTAATCTCAGCCTTTGCCCCATCTTTGCTCTGAAGGTCTGAGCTGGAGTTCTAACGCCTGCGGGATGTGGCCTCTCAACAAATCCGCCCGGAAATGGTCCGTTTCTGTACAGACGTTACTTCTCAGACCTCAGTCTGAACTTGGCATTGTCTGCTCCTGACCCCTGTGCATATGAATGGCTCTGCGCTGGTTTGCCGCGGCTTTGAAAGACGGCACACCAGGATGGCGAGGAGCTGGGGCCAGGCCAGCCTCTCCTCACCTCAATGTCGGGCACAAGGTGGTCTCTGGTCTCTCTGTCCCTATCTGGGGTGACGGGGCAGGGTCGGGAGAGACAGGCACAGAGAAGCAATGACTCCCGCGTCCTGCAGACGAACTGGGTAAGTGCCCGGCAGCCCCTTCACCTGGCCACCGAGAGGCTGGAGGCCCAGGTCCAGCTCTGCCGGGTCACCCGCCTCCTGATCCAGAATATCCAAAGAACTCTTGAAACTTAACAATAAGAAAGAAAAAAAGCAACCCAATTTTTTAAAATGAGTAATTAAAAAACAAAGCACAGCCCTGACCAGTGTTGCCACGTGGTTAGAGAGTCACCCCCCACCCTCCCCCCGCCCCCGTTTCCTGAGGTCCCCGCGCTGTGCTTCTTCATACCTGACTCACGGCGTGCGTTTCCTGTGGGCTGTCTCACCCTCTGGAACAAGGTGGGGAATACATTAATATTTAAAATAAGACAAACAAAATGTCAGTGTGTGTGTCTTAGGCTGGAAATTCCTTAAGGGCAAGGACCATGTCTGTTTATATAGCACCTGGCACAGTGTCAAATTGGGGCTTAACAAATGAATTCTGATGAAGATGAGAAAGGAGCTGCCTGCGTGAAGATGCAGAGGCCTAGGCACCCCCGTCCAGCTAAGCCTCATCCACCCCCTTAGCCAGGGCACCCTTTCCCCTGCCACCCCAAACCCTCACCCTGTTCCCAATCCTCTAGGCTGCTATTCATCCTCCCTGCCCTGTCCACACTGCCCACAACCAACCCTGTCCTCACCCACACTCTGCTCTCTCAGAGGCGTGCCCCTCCCTCACAAACACACTCACTGGGGGTCCACCCAGCCCACCTGCTGCCCA